GGTCACAAGACAAGGGACAGAGGGAGGAGAGGGGTCACAAAACCCAGGGAAAAGAGTAATCTCACAGAAGGGGAGAGAGGGGAAACAGAGGTGTTACACAGAGCAGGAGACAGAAGGGGAGAAGGTAAAAGTCATATTATAATACCAAGAAGAGATTTAGAAAGTCTTTCTATACTACTATCAATGTTCACTCATTTTTACATTTGTAGCAATTTGTCTGCAAAACATGTTCTGACTACACAATATGAATCTGAATTGGTGTCACTGATATTGGGACATATCTACATATAAATTGGGAGCACCTGAGGGTTGCCGAGGCCTTCTGAAAGGTGATGGACAGATTATCTGGGGGTTATGTCCTTTCTTCATCTCAGGATGTTTGGTTCCTTCGTTGGGTTTAGGTCTGTTCTGAATGGATGACATAGTGATTGGGTAAACTCTTTCAATCTCTTCATAGCTACAGTACTTATGTCCCAGTGATGCTGTTCCCATGGATTAGAGTAGGACCATTCTTCACATCTTGATTTGACATGAAGCTTCCACCAATATTTGATGAGCGACGTATCTGCAGTAATCAGATGTTTTCCATGCATCACCAATCTGCTGGGTGAAGAGATCAGCAGTGGAATGGAACTGGAGAATTATTACTGGGTACAATCCTGCCGAAGGATAATATAACATGCTTGGACCATCATGGTTTGTTTGGCTTCACACAATGAGATGAAGGTATGGACTGAGAATGTAGGGAGTCAGATTCAGAAGGCAAAAGTTCCTTTTGCATCCTTTATGTGTTAATGGTTTTAGCTGATCTTTCCATGAATTGATATTTCTATCTCAGCATATTCCTAGTCGTCTACTCTGTGTGGGTTAGTAATCAAGGATCAGGAGGTCTCAGGCTTTGAGGGCTTCTGACCAGATCTCACGTCTATGTGTATTGGGGCAGTTATCGATTGGGCAGGCTACAAAACCAGTCCAAATGACCAGATAAGCCATTGTCAGCCCCCCTTTCTGTCCCTAACCTCTCCACTGAAATAATTTAATAATGTTGGCAAAGGAGACTTGACAAGTTTAAGGAGATCACTGCAATGTTCTGAAGACCATAGGTGGTCAGATTGTACCTGCACAAAGCATCACTTTCTTAAGAGGGAAAGATCAGAAATCTTGTTAAAGGGGATTATATTTTAGAAACAGTAATACAGGTAGTGGAACCAACCCCCAGCACATAGAAATCAGTGGTTTCAGTGTCACAATTTGGGGGTTGGTAGATTGTCCTGGAGAGGGAGCTTCTGGCATCCTACGATGGACGTGCAAAATAGGGCTAGCTATGATTAGGGGGTGAGGTGAAGGCCAGAGTCAGAGTTATGGGTTCAAGGTTGGTTGGTTGGGTTTAAGGTCAGAGTTATGGGTTTTAGGTCAAGGCCAGAGTTAGAGTTATGGGTTCAAGGTTATGGTTGGGTTCAGAGTTATGGGTTTAAGGTCAAGGCCAGAGTCAGAGTTATGGGTTCAAGGTTATGGTCGGGTTCAGAGTTATGGGTTTAAGGTCAAGGCCAGAGTCAGAGTTATGGGTTCAAGGTTATAGTTGGGTTCAGAGTTATGGGTTTAAGGTCAAGGCCAGAGTCAGAGTTATGGGTTCAAGGTTATGGTTGGGTTCAGAGTTATGGGTTTAAGGTCAAGGCCAGAGTCAGAGTTATGGGGTCAAGGTTATGGTTGGGTTCAGAGTTATGGGTTTAAGGTCAAGGCCAGAGTCAGAGTTATGGGGTCAAGGTTATGGTTGGGTTCAGAGTTATGGGTTTAAGGTCAAGGCCAGAGTCAGAGTTATGGGTTCAAGGTTATGGTTGGGTTCAGAGTTATGGGTTTAAGGTTATGGCTGGAGTCAGATTTAGGGGTGTGAGGTAAGGGTTAGTGATGAGTTCAAACATGTCCGTATCCCACTCCAAGCGACCCTGAGCTATCCCGCCAGAAAGCTGTCATGGCTCCCACCAATCATAAGCCGCCAAGGCATTCCCTGCTCCTTATGTACATGTGGCTGTGGGACGGGTAATGCTTTGAACTCTTGGCGGGAGACGTGACAAATTCTTGGCAGGATGGCTCAGGTGGGTTCAGACTAGGATTCGAACATGACTGAGCTTAGCCCTAGCTGGGTCACAGGCTTAAGAATATGACTAAGGTCATTGTTAGGGTCAGAGTGAGGGGTTCAGGGTCATGTTTAGGCACATGGTTAGGAGCTTAAGGCCATGGTTAGGATCAGAGTTAGGTGCTTAAGGCCATGGTTAGGATCAGAGTTAGGAGCTTAAGGCCATGGTTAGGGTCAGAGTTATGGGTTTAAGGCCATGGTTAGGGTCAGAGTTAGGGGTTTAAGGCCATGGTTAGGGTTAGAGTTAGGGGTTTAAGGCCATGGTTAAGATCAGAGTTAGGGGTTTAAGGTCATGGTTAGGGTCAGGTTAGGGGTTTTAAGGTCATGGTTAGGGTCAGTGTTATGGGTTTAAGGTCATAGTTAGGGTCAGGTTAGGGGTTTAAGGTCATGGTTAGGGTCAGAGTTAGGGGTTTAAGGTCATGGTTAGGGTCAGAGTTAGGGGTTTAAGGTCATGGTTAGGGTCAGAGTTAGGGGTTTAAGGTCATGGTTAGGGTCAGGGTTAGGGGTTTAGGTTATGTTAGGGTCAGATATAGAGGTGTAAAGCTATGGTTAGGATTAAGGATTAAAATTATGGTTATGGTCAGAGTTATGGGTTTAAAGTTTTGGTTAGGGTCAGAGTTATGGGTTTAGGGTATGATTAGGGTCAGATTTAGGGGTTTAGGGGATGGGTAGGATCAGATTTAGGGGTGTAGGGTATGGTTAGGGTCAGAGTGAGGGGTGTAGGGTATGATTAGGGTCAGAGTTTGGGGTGTAGAGTATGATTAGGGTCAGAGTTAGGGGTGTAGGGTATGGTTAGGGTCAGAGTTTGGGGTGTAGGGTATGGTTTAGGGTCAGAGTTAGGGTGTATGGTATGGTTAGGGTCAGAGTTAGGAGTATAGGGTATGGTTAGGGTCAGATTTGGGGTGTAGGGTATGGTTAGGGATCAGAGTTTGGGGTGTAGGGTATGATTAGGGTCAGAGTTTAGGGTGTGTAGGGTATGGTTAGGGTCAGAGTTTGGGGTGTAGAGTATGATTAGGGTCAGAGTTAGGGGTGTAGGGTATGGTTAGGGTCAGAGTTTTGGGGTGTAGGGTATGGTTAGGGTCAGAGTTAGGGGTGTATGGTATGGTTAGGGTCAGAGTTAGGAGTATAGGGTATGGTTAGGTGTCAGAGTTTGGGGTGTAGGGTATGGTTAGGATCAGAGTTTGGGGTGTAGGGTATGGTTAGGGTCAGAGTTTGGGGTGTAGGGTATGGTTAGGGTCAGAGTTTGGGGTGTAGGGTATGGTTAGGGTCAGAGTTTGGGGTGTAGGGTATGGTTAGGGTCAGAGTTAGGGGTGTAGGGTATGGTTAGGGTCAGAGTTAGGGGTGTAGGGTATGGTTAGGGTCAGAGTTAGGGGTGTAGGGTATGGTTAGGGTCAGAGTTAGGGGTGTAGGGGTATGGTTAGGGTCAGATATTGGGGTGTAGGGTATGGTTAGGGTCAGAGTTAGGGGTGTAGGGTATGGTTAGGGTCAGATATTGGGGTGTAGGGTATGGTTAGGGTCAGAGTTAGGGGTGTAGGGACAGGGTGAGGGGTTCAAGGTTACAGTTAGAAGCACTGCTATGGGTTTGGGTCTCAGGTTGGGCGTTCAGATGAAGCAGTATGGGTCCATCATGTATGAAGGATGAGGGTGTCAGAGGGACAACGCTCTGGTAATACAGACAGAACCCATGAATTGGACGCACACATAAGGTGCTCCAGCTGAGTTGTCACCAAGAAGTTGTCATTTTCCCTGCAAACCTTCATCTTCGCCTTCCTTTCCTCTGATACATTCTTCATTCACTGGCGTACGGCGCCCCCACCAGGGCATGTATGGTCGATCCCATCCATTGAGCAGTAACAGAATCCTATCATTTTCTGTGTATGGGGGAGTCATATACAAAGACATTGGAGGAAGATTGAGTTGCTGAGGATCGTAGCGCGGAGCTTCGAAGAACGATCGTTGTCTGCCGCTGTCTGCTCGTCCATGGATTGAAAGGAAAGCTGCAGTCAGGAATGTTTCTGCTGCTCTCTTCTTCTTCTGAAATGCTGCTTTTCCTGGCTGTCCTGGTGATCCGGTAGCTTCAGTGTTCTGTGGTCGATGAACAATGCGATCGATTTACCTCTGACTCTCCTTGTCTACACACTTGGTTTGGGTCGACTTCCCACAATGCTGAAGTCAGACACAGCTCAGAAATTAGCAGGAAGCTCAGAGACGCCTGTCTTTGTATTTTTTCTGGAAGATGCATGAAGGAGTCGCTCACATCTGACAACAAACTGGTCGATCTTTGTGAACCTTCGTGTAGGTGCCTTAAAGGGCCACTCCACCCAGAACTGATGTTTTAGTGTTGAGTGGATGCTAGACGCTTAAATCTTCTGACAGTCTTTTCTGTCTGTCTTAGATTTTACAGTTGAGTTTCCGGATCTGTACACCCGCTGTGCCCATTATGAGAGGGGTTCCCACCATCCCTGTGCTGAGATCCTGGGTCTGTACACCCGCTGTGCCCATTATGAGGGGGTTCCCACCATCCCTGTGCTGAGTTTCCGGGTCTGTACACCCGCTGTGCCCATTATGAGGGGTTCCCACCATCCATGTGCTGAATTTCCCGGGTCTGTACTCCCCTGTGCCCATTATGAGAGGTTCCCACCATCCTCTGCTGAGTTCCTGGGTCTGTACACTCGCAGTGCCCATTATGAGGGGTTCCCCCCATCCCTGTGCTGAATTTCCCGGTCTGTACTCCCCCTGTGCCCATTATGAGGGGTTCCCCCCATACCTGTGCTGAGTTCCCGGGTCTGTACACCTCCTATGCCCACTATGAGGGTTCCCACCATCCCTTTGCTGAGTTTCCGGGTCTGTACGCCCGCTGTGCCCATTATGAGGGGTTCCCACCATCCCTGTGCTGAGATCCTGGGTCTGTACACCCGCTGTGCCCATTATGAGGGGGTTCCCACCATCCCTGTGCTGAGTTCCCGGGTCTGTACACCCGCTGTGCCCATTATGAGGGGTTCCCACCATCATGTGCTGAATTTCCCGGGTCTGTACTCCCCCTGTGCCCATTATGAGAGGTTCCCACCATCCCTCTGCTGAGTTCCTGGGTCTGTACACTCGCAGTGCCCATTATGAGGGGTTCCCCCCATACCTGTGCTGAGTTCCCGGTCTGTACACCTCCTATGCCCACTATGAGGGGTTCCCACCATCCCTTTGCTGAGTTTCCGGGTCTGTACGCCCGCTGTGCCCATTATGAGGGGTTCCCACCATCCCTGTGCTGAGATCCTGGGTCTGTACACCCGCTGTGCCCATTATGAGGGTTCCCCACCATCCCTGTGCTGAGTTCCCCAACGGGTCTGTAATACCCGACAGAACCCATGAATTGGTTCGCACACATCCAGGTGCTCCAGCTGAGTTGTCACCGGAAGTTGTCATTTTCCCTGCAAACCTTCATCTCGCCTTCCTTTCCTATGATACCTTCATTCACTGGCGTACGGTTCCCCCACCAGGGCATGCTGGTTCCCATCGGCAGTCAGTAATCACTATCATTTTCTGTGTATGTGGGAGTCCAAAGACATTGGAGGAGATTGGTTGTTGACCGTAGCGCGGAGCTACCTGTGCTGAGATCCCGTTGTCTGCACGCTGTCTGCTCGTCCATGGATTGAAAAGAAAGCTGCAGTCAGGGGTTTCTGCTGCCATCTTCTTTCTGAAAATGCTTTTCCTGGCTGTCCTGTGATCCGCCTTCAGTGTTCTGTGGTCCCATTATGAGGATCGATTTACCTCTGACCATCCTTGTCTGCACACTTGGTTTGGGTCGACTTCCCACAATGCTGAAGTCAGACACAGCTCAGAAATTAGCAGGAAGCTCAGAGACGCCCATGTCTTTGTATTTTTTCTGGAAGATGCATGAAGGAGTCGCTCACATCTGACAACAAACTGGTCGATCTTTGTGAACCTTCGTGTAGGTGCCTTAAAGGGCCACTCCACCCAGAACTGCTGTTTTAGTGTTGAGTGGATGCTAGACGCTTAAATTTTCTGACAGTCTTTTCTTTCTGTCTTAGATTTTACAGTTGAGTTTCCGGGTCTGTACACCCGCTGTGCCCATTATGAGGGGTTCCCACCATCCCTGTGCTGAGTTCCCGGGTCTGTACACCCCCTGTGCCCATTATGAGGGTTCCCACCATCCATGTGCTGAATTTCCCGGGTCTGTACTCCCCTGTGCCCATTATGAGAGGTTCCCACCATCCCTGTGCTGAGTTCCTGGGTCTGTACACTCGCAGTGTGCCCATTATGAGGGGTTCCCCCCATACCTGTGCTGAGTTCCCGGGTCTGTACACCTCCTATGCCCACTATGAGGGGTTCCCACCATCCCTTTGCTGAGTTTCCGGGTCTGTACGCCCGCTGTGCCCATTATGAGGGGTTCCCACCATCCCTGTGCTGAGTTCCCGGGTCTGTACACCCGCTGTGCCCATTATGAGGGGTTCCCACCATCCCTGCGCTGAGTCCCCGGGTCTGTACACCCGCTGTGCCCATTATGAGGGGTTCCCACCATCCCTGCGCTGAGTACCTGGGTCTGTACACCCGCTGTGCCCATTATGAGGGGTTCCCACCATCCCTGTGCTGAGTCCCTGGGTCTGTACACCCGCTGTGCCCATTATGAGGGGTTCCCACCATCCCTCTGCAGAGTTCCCGGGTCTGTACACCCGCTGTGCCCATTATAAGGGGTTCCCACCATCCCTGTGCTGAGTTCCCAGTCTGTACTCCCCTGTGCCCATTATGAGAGGTTCCCACCATCCCTGTGTTGAGTTCCCGGGTCTGTACACCTGCTATGCCCACTATGAGGGGTTCCCACCGTCCCTGTGCTGAGTTCCCGGGTCTGTACACCCGCTGTGCCCATTATGAGGGGTTCCCACCATCCCTGTGCTGAGTTCCCGGTCTGAACATATCCTATGCCTACTATGAGGGGTTCCCACCATCCCTGTGCTGAGTTCCCAGGGTCTGTACACCTGCTGTGCCCATTATGAGGGGTTCCCACCATCCCAGCCAGAACACACAAAGGTGGGTGAGAACACTCAAAACTGCCAAGCAGACAGGAAGAGAACAGGGGCGGACTGACCATTTGGGAACTCTGGCACTGCCCGAGGGCCCGGGGTCAGTAGGGGGCCCCTGAAGTGCCTCTGGTACCTTTCATAGGCTTTTTTGGGTGTGGTTCGAGTGGCTAGGACACAGGGGCCCCATGATCCCCTATTGCCCGGGGCCCCATGAGTTGACAGTCCGCCCCTGGAAGAGAGGCAGATATTTTGGAAGGGAGATCTCACTGTTGGACCCCAGGGGGTGGTTTCGCCCTCCAGGCTCCACTTGCAGCAAAAACATCATTTTTTTGGGTGGACTTGTCCTTTAATTAAACATTTCTGCCGCGCCCCTCCATACACTCACCGATGTAGAAGTTGGTCGCCGTACGCATCTGCCTGTGCTTGGATATGACATAGATGACCAGAGAGTTCCCAATCAGCCCCACCAACATGATCAGGGCGAAGAAGAGCGGCACCAGCCAGGCGTCGGTGAGGAACGGCGGCGGTCCGCTCTCGGTCCGGTTCACCAGCGATTCGTTGGTTCTGCTTGCATTCCCCAATAAGCTGCCATTCATATATTCCCAGGAAAGGTTCAGCATCTCGTCCAGCATCTCCTCGCCCAGCGCCATCAACAAAGACCCTCCCACCCCAAGAAAAAAAAGAGAACCTCGCCCCCCCAAAAAAAGAGAAACTCGCTCCCCAAAAAAAGAGAACCTCGCCCCCCAAAAAACTGGTCAAAAATGAAGAACCTCCGGGCCGCAACAGTACGCCGTATAATCCTTCTTCGCCTTGGAAAAAATATTTTCAAAAGGTCAAGCGAAAGCCAGCATGGTGGGTAGAAGAGGCAGACCGCAACTGCGCTGCCCGGCCGCCGTGACACAAACGAACCGGATCGATCGCATATCCTCCGGGCAGATCGGAGATTAGTCGTCGCTCCTCGGCGGGGGTCTGTCGAAGAACATGCTTCCTCGGCAGACCTCGGACTCACATCCTCTGCCTCCGCTCACAACTGGAGGGAATGACAACTCTCCGCTGATTTATAGTGAGAGACGCACGTGGAATGCGAGCGCGCGCGCGCGGAGAGAGGCGTGCAGACCCTCCAACACCGTTGCCCGGCAAAAACAGCATCAGCATCCCAGTGGCTTTTTTTTTTTTTTTTTTTTATGTCTTGATGGGATGCATTTTAGCCTTCCGCGCGTCACAAACAGAGACAAAGCCTCCAATCAGAGGGTATAATTACTCCCGTCATTGTTTTATAGAAAAATCAGGCGCACGGAGAAATGATGGCGCTTATGGCGGCTCTGAACTTCTCCGGGGTAATAAAAGCTGCTACAGTACATGAGACAAGGGGGAAAAATCGTTTAAAATCTTTACAAAAGTGAGCTGCGTCCCGATCTAAATTCCTTCTTTCTGGGACCCCAGTGTTGGGTGCCTCTGCCCCGCCCACAATCCAGTACAAATCTTACAAATCTGTTCAGGGAGAGTGAAACCCAGGGGAAGACTGAAAACTCATGGGGCCCCCGGGCAATAGGGGATCATAGGGCCCCTGTGTCCTTGCCAAAACTCCAAAAAGCCCATGAAAAAGGTGCCAGGGGCATCTCATGGGGCCCACTACTGAACCCCAGGCCCTCGGGCAATGCCCGAGTTTCCAAATGGTCAGTCCGCCCCTGGTGACACCATTGTTCGTCAATGCCACGGTGTGTCAGTGATGGAGAAATGAAACATTGTAACTGATTCGGTTCATGGTGGTTGTTCAGCAGCTCAGCTCCCCCTGACCCCCTTCCTGACAGCGACTCAGCAACACAGCTCCCCCTGACCCCCTTCCTGACAGCAACTAAGCAGCTCAGCTCCCCCTGACCCCCTTCCCAACAGCGACTCAGCAGCTCAAATCTCCCTGACCCCCTTCCTGACAGCGACTCAGTAGCTCAGCTCCCCCTGACCCCCTTCCTGACAGCGACTCAGCAGCACAGCTCCCCCTGACCCCCTTCCCAACAGCGACTCAGCAGCTCAGCTCCCCCTGACCCCCTTCCCGACAGCAACTTAACAGCTCAGCTTTCCTTGATCCCCTTCCTGACAGCAACTCAGCAGCACAGCTCCCCCTGACCCCCTTCCTGACAGAGACTCAGCAGCACAGTTCCCCCTGACCCCCTTCCTGACAGCAACTCAGCAGCTCAGCTCCCCCTGACCATCTTTTCGACAGCGACTCAGCAGCTCAGCTCCCCCTGACAGCAACTCAGCAGCTCAGCTCCCCCTGACCCCCTTCCTGACAGTGACTTAGCAGCACAACTCCCCCTGACCCCCTTCCTGACAGCGACTCAGCAGCTAAGCTCCCCCTGACCCCTTTCCCGACAGCGACTCAGCAGCTCAGCTCCCCCTGACCCCCTTCCGGACAGCGACTCAGCAGCTCAGCTCCCCCTGACCCCCTTCCTGACAGTGACTCAGCAGCACAGCTCCCCTTGACCCCCTTCCTGACAGCGACTCAGCAGCATAGCTCCCCCTGACCCCCTTCTCGACAGCGACTCAGTAGATCAGCTCTCCCTGACCCCCTTCCCGACAGCGACTCAGCAGCTCAGCTCCCCCTGACCCCCTTCCTGACAGCGACTCAGCAGCACAGCTCCCCCAGACCCCCTTCCCAACAGTGACTCAGCAGCACAACTCCCCCTGACCCCCTTCCCGACAGCGACTCAGCAGCAAAGCTCCCCCTGACCCCCTTCCTGACAGCAACTAAGCAGCTCAGCTCCCCCTGACCCCCTCCCTGACAGTGACTCAGCAGCACAGCTCCCCCTGACCCCTTTCCTGACAGCGACTCAGCAGCTCAGCTCCCCCTGACCCCCTTCCTGACAGTGACTCAGCAGCTCAGCTCTCCCTGACCCCCTTCCTGACAGCGACTCGGCAGCACAGCTCCCCCTGACCCCCTTCCTGACAGCAACTAAGCAGCTCAGTTCCTTCTGACCCCCTCCCTGACAATGACTCAGCAGCACAGCTCCCCCTGACCCCCTTCCCGACAGCGACTCAGCAGCTCAGCTCCCCCTGACCCCCTTCCTGACAGCGACTCAGCAGCACATCTCCCCCTGATCCCCTTCCTGACAGCAACTAAGCAGCTCAGCTCCCCCTGACCCCGTTCCCGACAGCGACTCAGCAGCACAGCTCCCCCTGACCCCCTTCCTGACAGCAACTAAGCAGCTCAGCTCCCCCTGACATCCTTCCTGACAGCAACTCAGCAGCACAGCTCCTCTTGACCCCCTTCCTGACAGTGACTAAGCAGCTCAGTTCCCCTTGACCCCCTTCTCGACAGCGATTCAGCAGCTCAGCTCCCCCTGACAGCAACTCAGCAGCTCAGCTCCCCCTGACCCCCTTCCCGACAGCGACTCAGCAGCTCAGCTCTCCCTGACCCCCTTCCTGATAGCGACTCAGCAGCTAAGCTCCCCCTGAACCCTTTCCTGACAGCGACTCAGCAGCTCAACTCCCCCTGACCCCCTTCCTGACAGCGACTCAGCAGCTCAGCTTCCTCTGACCCCCTTCTCGACAGCGACTAAGCAGCACAGCTTCCCCAGACCCCCTTCCCGACAGCGACTCAGCAGCACAGCTCCCCTTGACCCCCTTCCCAACAGCAACTAAGCAGCTCAGCTCCCCCTGACCCCCTTCCTGACAGTGACTCAGCAGCACAGCTCCCCCTGACCCCCTTCCCGACAGCGACTCAGCAGCACAGCTCTCTCTGACCCCCTTCCTGACAGCGACTCAGCAGCACAGCTCCCCTTGACTCCCTTCCCGACAGCGACTCAGCAGCTCAGCTCCCCCTGACCCCTTCCCGACAGCGACTAAGCAGCTCAGCTCCCCCTGGCCCCTTTCCCAACAGCGACTCAGCAGGTCAGCTCCCCTTGACCCCCTTCCCGACAGCAACTCAGCAGCTCAGCTCCCCTCCTAGCAGTTCTAAAGCAATGTATATTATCAACAATTACTTTTTTTTAATATAAATCCTTGTTTTCACCTTTTTTTGTTCCTTGCCTCATTTTAGGGCTCTGCTCCCCTTCCCAGCAGTGCCTCAGCAGCTCAGCTCTCCCTGCTTCTCTCTACCAATAGTGACTCGGCAGCCCAGCTCTCCCTGCTTCCCCCTCTCAACAGTGACTCAGCAGCTCAGCTCTCCCCAGCGACTTGGCAGCTCAGCTCTCCCTGCTTCCCACTCTCAACAGCGACTCGGCAGCTCAGCTCTCCCTGCTTCCCCCTCTCAACAGAGACTCAGCAGCTCAGCTCTCTCTGCTCCCCCTCTCAACAGAGACTCAGCAGCTCAGCTCTCCCTCCTTCCCCCTCTGAACAGTGACTCAGTATCTCAGCTTTCCCTGCTCCCCCTCTCAACAGTTACTCAGCAACTCATCCCTTTATGCTTCCCCCTCTCAACAGCGACTCAACAGCTCAGCTCTCCCTGCTTCCCCCTACCAACAGAGACTCAGCAGCTCAGCTCTCCCTGCTTCCCCCTCTCAACAGAGACTCAGCGGCTCAGCTCTCCCTGCTCCCCCTCTCAACAGAGACTCAGCGGCCCAGCTCTCTCTGCTTCCCCCTCTCAACAGAGACTCAGCAACTCATCCCTTTATGCTTCCCCCTCTCAACAGCGACTCAACAGCTCAGCTCTCCCTCCTTCCCCCTACCAACAGCGACTCAACAGCTCAGCTCTCCCTGCTTCCCCCTACCAACAGAGACTCAGCAGATCAGCTCTCCCTGCTTCCCCCTCTCAACAGAGACTCAGCAACTAAGCTCTCTCTGCTCCACCTCTCAACAGAGTCTCGGCAGCTCAGCTCTCCCTGCTTCCCCCTCTCAACAGCTGCTCAGCAGCTCAGCTCTCCCTGCTTCCCCTCTCAACAGCGACTCGGCAGCTCAGCTCTCCCTGCTTCACCCTCTCAATAGAGACTCGGTGGCTCAGCTCTCCCTGCTTCCCCCTCTCAACAGCTACTC